TTATTTATTTATTTATTTTATTTTATTTTATTTTATTTTATTTATTAAATTTCTCCCCGCCCATCTCCCCCCAGTGGGGGACTCTGGGCAGTTCACACAAAACATAAAACCATAAATACATTTATTTAAATAACACATTCCAAACAGAATTTATTAATAATAAATATGTTACAAATTGCTCATTTTTAACAGATTTAAGTATTGGAATACAAAGTATATAAAAAAGCAAATGTTCTCATGCAAAAAGGTAGAAAAAGGGGGGCAAAAGCAAGAAGATTGAAAAAAAGACTCCTATGTTTAAGTTACAAAAAGAAAATTGTGTTTTAAAAAAAAGAGTAAATTGCATCCTCCCCTTCCCTTCCATTTGTATCCTCAACCACAAGCCATAGCTTAGACTTTTGAACTTTACATCAAACATTAGTAAGTTCTGTTAGTTTCTATTTAAGTCTTAAAAATCATCTTCCAGATATCTAAATCTGCCTTGCTCTATAATGTACTGTATGTAAGGGAACCATTCTTGCTTGAACCTATTTAAACTTCTATTAAATGTGCAAAGTTTTATCAAAAGACTCACATGCAATGAAATGTCCCAGAATTTCTCACTTATTGTGTTAACATATGTTAGTCTACTTGTTCTTCTTCATACCCTCAAATCTGAAGCAACACAACAGTTGGAGAAGAACATTTTGTCTCTTGTGAGAGTCCACCATTCCCTTCATTTAGATCATTACCACCCAAACTGGAGACATTATGTATCCCATCCCAACTAATAGTTGTCAGTAACTGGTACTCCTAGGGCTTTGCTTCAGGTGAAGATCAAAAGAATCAAGTTGGGGGCTGTCACTGTGGGATTGAAGCCCCACCCCTTTGGATTATGCACATGACATGTGAAAAAGGGGCAGGGCTTCAGTCACACAGTTGTGGCTGCCATCTTGACTTTTTGGGGAAAAAAAAACCCGCCCTGGGGAGGCCCTGGCTTTGATGACTCCAAAGCTGAGCTGCCACGTGAGACCCACCTCAACCATTAGCCTACAGGTGTGTTCATCTCCACTCTCTTTCTTTGGCAGATCTACCCTGATGAAGGTCACTACTTCAACAGCCCAGCCCTCGAGCAGCATTTGTACAAGTCCCTTGTCAATTTCTTTGTGGAATGTTTCAAAATCCAGGACAAAGCTCCAGTAGTTTCCACGAAAGAAGACGAGGACGAAGATTAACTTTCTGGGCTTGTGCTAAGAAGCACAAGGCGACTTCTCAAAAGGATATGCAACTGAATCCTCCTGATTCCCCTCCCTGACAAAAGGCGTGTTACGTGAGCATGTATTTAAGAAAAGCGAAAAGGAAAAGCAGTCCTGGTGCTTGTATCGGAGGTCCTGCCTTCCCCAACGGAAGAACATTTAAGCGTGAGGAACTCAGCAGAAACTGCTGTTGAAAAACCAATCTCTACGAACAACAGATCTCTCTGGCCACAGTGGGACTTCTGGATACCGGGAAGCTGAACTCCGAAGGCAGATTGCCCAAGATGCCAACAGCAACCCTTGGCACTGAAAGAATGCCAGTCCAAGGAATGAAAACCCACCATCTGTCCGTGTTAGGGGTCCCTTACTTAGCGTCTCATTGTTTCAGATAAAACGACCATCCATGGAATAAAGATTATAGCACAATTATTTTTCAAGGGTACACATTTGTGTGTTGTTTGCCTGTGGTCTTCTGCATTTCAAAGAAGTAGACATTGCTGCTCACCTCTACAGGCATTTTCTTTGTACAAACCACTGCTGTAGCGATACTAACCTTTGACTGACGTTCTTGCACTGTACAGGCGTTTCTGTATATAGTTTTTAGCTGTTGCTCCCTTTCCCTTCAGCCTTGCACTGATCCTTTGCCGCTGCAATGTGTCTGGCTCAAGGAGAAAAACCTCTCAAAGCCTAGCGGGCCTCCAGAGTCCCGGCTTCAGATTTTTTAAATGCTCAGGAGCTCTTCCCGTCCGTTCCTTTAAGGCTCCAGTTGCAGTTTAGCTTCATGGATTTGAATCATCCGATATGAACAAATATTTTGTCTTCTGCTTTTAGAAAAGACCCTTTCCTCCTTTTTTAGGGGGACAAGGATAGCTGCATGACAGTTGTCATCCTACAGTATCCCCAAAACAGCAAGTTGCCAGTCCTTATGGTTGCAGATGGGCAGGGTTGGGGAAATGTGAGAAGTAACTCTCTAAAGATCAGATCTTGATGGTGCTTAGAGTGTTATAGGGCAGTGTTTCTCAACTTTAGCAACTTTAAGATGTGTGGACTTCAACTCCCAGAATCCCCCAGCCAGCATGGCTGGCTGGGGAATTCTGAGAGTTGAAGTCCACAAATTTTAAAGTTGCTAAAGTTGAGAAACACTGGTTTAGGGGGGATGTCCTGCATCAGCAAGTCAGCAGCTCTCCTGGAAATGTGAATAACTTCTGGAATTGCTTCTCTTCTTGCTTTCCCCACAGCGATCGCTTCTGTCATTTGTACTGTTACCTTCATAATATTACACAGATTTTAATTCATCCTAACACACTTCCTTCTCTGTACGTTGTATTCATGTCATGATAAAAATCTGGGTTTGGGCATTGCACGTTTGCCTTCTTTTCCTTTGGGTTTTTTTTTCCCCCCCTGGAAGGTTGAACCCAGACCCCATTTCCAGTGATTTTTTTTCCTAGAGTGCAGAGGAGGCAAGACTAAAACAATTCAAAACTTTCCCCAATCTTTTTAAATGCCTTGGATTCCGTTTTTTCCCCTCCCTTCTTCTCCGTTCCTTTGCTTTGCTAGTGTTCCTCCCTGTAAATTATTCTGACCCAATGTATAACCAGTATGAATATTGTATACTTCATTTTGTTGTGTATAAAAGGAATGTAAGTCGATGATTTGTCAAGTTCCCCTTTGTTCCCGCATCTTGGATTATTCTTATTCTTATGTCTTGTGTTCTACGTGCATGTGAGAACCCTTGTTTGCTTATTAAGGCCCTTGGGAGGTGTTCATTCAGACTAAATCAATTCAGTGGCTCCTTTTGATTGTTTTTGACAGCTTGAATGTCAATGCGGGTTTCTACCTTTTTACATGTGCTGTTGGGAAAACACGCATCCGAGACGGCAGGACGACTGGTGATACATTTCACCCAGTGTTTTTCTTTATGTCTCTGCTTTGTTTTAGGTTCAGGCTGTTAGCTGTTGGTGGCAATTAGATCATCACGGGAGATATACCAGTAAACCAAACGCCAAGGCAGGGGGGGAAATCAGGAATCTCATTGCATTTTCCCCCCCTTTCGACGTTTACTCTGCATCAAGATTCACACGGAACGTACTGGCAGAATGATTCAGTCCTTCAGCCAAATGCCAAATAGACCGTGTGAATGATACATGTCAAGTTTCGATAATCTTCTAGGCCACGATGCCTGAGCTGATCTTGATCCGGAGGAGGCAACCCCCTGCTCTGTTTGTAAAATTTTGTAGAGGGAAAGCCCAGGTGTGGCACAGTAGTGTTTGTTCATCCATGAAATAAAGCATTATTTTGCCATCTAGGTGCTTTGGTTACTCTTTCTTAAATATTGCATGACCAATAGAAGAGAATATCTGTAGCTCAGGGTTGAACGGTGGAGTCCTTGGGGTTCTCTGAGCTTGGTTGTTTTCTTGCAAACGTTTCGTTACCCGCCTGGTAACATCTTCAGTGCTAGAATGGAGTGGGGTTTGCTCTCTGTTTATATACAGATTACATGACCTTTTGAAAGTGCATGTTTAGACCGATGCATGGTGAGCCTCTGAAGATTCTCTGTAAGGGGAAGAGCTTGGTGCGCCTGACAGTCCAACAGGGCTTCTCTCTTTCTCTCCCTTCTCTGAATGAAAGTAGCTTAATCCAACAGGAGGGACTGAATATAATTACCTCATCAAGGGGTGGCCCTTGAGGCACTGCCTGAAATGAGTCAAGCCATCTCTGGGTGGCTCTAAAAGGGAGATGTCTCATTCAAAGGCAGATGTTTTAAGGAGATGTCTCATTCAAAGGCAGATGTTTTCAACTGACCTATGGTAAGGCTAAGCAGGTCCATATTCCCAAAGAAAATGTATTGGCCACTCCAAAATAAAGCTTGACAAAGGCCAAGATGTGCCTGGGTTTGCACATCCAAATGATCCAATGCACATTTAGAAAGAGTTATCATTTAAGTTTAAAAAAATGGTATATCTCTCCATCTTGTGGAAGATTGGAAGAACCCAGTGACTTTTTTTCGATGTCTGCAGCTCAGCCTCTTGTGAAGATTCTGGCTCTGATAGGTCCACAGGTTATGGGCCAAAACCTGCAATCAAATTGATCCAGGCCCTGCCCCCATGTTCAGAAGGGGTGGAGCTTCACCTTGCCCACCATTTTACAGATTTTGATCTACACCCCTGCGGACATCCCTGAGCAGCTTCAGGACCTCTGATTCTTTAAAGAATATGGCACTGGATGGAAGGCAACACTTCATGGATTTGGTTCCATATTTGATCTGTTTCAGATTTGCATTTGCTTAAATGCAGAATGGGCAAAATGCAAAGCCTGTTCCAGCCAATTAAATCATCAATCTGTGATTTAAACAAAAAAAAGGCACATTTTCTCAAATAGATGCAGTGTTGTATGCAGTGTCTGAGATGGAACCTCAGTAAAAGCCTAAGGAGGTAGATATAGATGTTGGGGCCAGGCTCAATCAGAAGAAAGAGAAGCAAAGTCAGTTATTTCAGCAGCCCAGAACTGTGAGCTGACGTCTGTGAAATGCTTGGGCCACCCTAAAATCATAGCTCCATCTCCCTGAATGTGGCATTTACCAGTTAGACAAAACTACAATTCCCATCAACTAGACCAAGAAGACCATAGCAGCTGAGGGTGGCACTAAATTAGACAGTATATAACAGCAAGTGGGTGCTTCACGTCTCATCTCTAGATGTTTTCCTTTATCCCACTCATCAATATTCAGGCTTCTAAAGAGGGGGATTTATTTTACTCAATCCATTTTCCACCCACTCTTCTGTAGGTGTCCTTGAGATCCTTTCCCCTGTGAGACAAGTCTAGGAAATTCTTCCTAAAAATAGATGCTCTTTTGCTTGTTTCTGTTTCAGGCATTTATTTCTAACTGTTGTTCCAAACCTGGACTCCTCTCTCCGTCTCCCATTTATGTTCTCTTTGTTCCACCCCTGCCTGTCATTTGCATTTCCATCCATGCCATGTGCTCAATTCGTTCTTTTCCCTTCATTCATAACCTCCCCTACTGGCACTTTAGAGTGTTGCTCGTAGCACGCACTACATCGGTTTCAAGGAGGTTAATTGGATTTCACCCTCCCAAGTCAGACTCTGACCAACATCTGACATAGGAGTCCCCCTCCCAACTGTCTGCCAGGATGTTTTTGTTTCTACAATTCGGAAGCCATGAAGGGGGATCAGCTGCCCTTGAACTGGGTCTGTCCTGGGCCATCTCAGCCTTCAACCACCACCCCTTGACCCATGTTGGTAGGGAGGGAGACATTCTTCTGCCCTGATGATGGGATGGGATGAACAAACAATAGTCTTTCTCCATCTCTGTTGCAGTGCTATTGCATTTCCTTTTCAGTTCTATATTCATTATCTTAACTTCCCTTGAAGGCAAAAGAGTTCAGGACCCTTTTACAGGCTGATAATGATGTTGATTAATGCAGCCAGAGAGGTAAGGAAAGGGAACAAAAAAATGTAAAAAATTAACATTTAAAGCCATAGACTAGACCATCAAACTGACTCCCATGTGTTTAACAAAGCTTCCCATGTGTTTGATTAAGTTCTTCACCAGAGGCAAAGTCACTGAGGTCTACTTGGGTTTTCCCAAAGACAGCTAATATGGCAAGTAGCTCTCCAATGGGCAAACAATTGGAGTTGTCCAAAGAAATATTTCTCTCATTCAGATGTCACTTTTGGTGTCGCTATACCTTATGTTTTTGTTCAGGACCAACAAGTCTGAAAGGAAACACACCAGACAACCTGGGTGTGATCTCAGGTTGAGGGCTGCAGTTGATCTTCAGCATGCTAGAGGCAGCATTCCAAAAATCAGTGGGTGAGAAAAGGACATTAATTTTCATTTACTTTGAATTGATATTTAATAAAAATTGAACATAGTGTAATTTTTCTCCATGCAATATTTAATAATTCTCCTTCTCATCTCCTGAAAAATTGCAATTTGTTAATGTTTTGAGATCACCCAA